AAAATATTTTCTACAAAATTGAGTTTTGTAACATTTGGGTTCTTTGATTTGTTGATGAATTTATAGTTACTTTGCAATAGGCACTTTGATATTATTGTTCCCTGCATTAGAGGAAACAAACTACAAAAGTTTATTCATCTAGTGCTTGAGGCTTTACCCAAGTAAAAAAAAAAAAATTGTTTTCAAGCCTGTACATTCCCCATTTTATTCTTGCAGTATTAAAATAAAAGAACCATAGAGAAAAAGTATAGAGTGAATCTAGCCACTACTACAATGACTCTACTTCACTTGCAGATGGACTAAGGTGCCTACCACCACATGCTGTTTAAGGTTGCCATCTAAAAAGGGCTAAAATTTTTGTAAATGATGTAGCTAAAGAACGTGCTACTAATTACTGTTGATGGGCATATTAAAATTGCTGATTTTACTCCCCTGGTTAACCGTGCCTCGGGTCTCACTTCCTAAAATGGTGGATAAGGAAAACTATGAAAGAAGATATCTCAGTAAGTAAAAATATAGATAACCCATAAGTAAAATTGAAACATGCCTGATAAACAATTTAATCATAACGAAACGTTCAATGATAAACCGTTAATGCAGAATAAGATTCAGTAAAAGTCTCATCTATAAGTCATGGTCAGTGTTTAACTCCCACTGACAGGCGTCAGTAATAATCAATGTATTATCCCATTTGCAGGATTACAGAATGAACCAGTCCTACCGATAAACATGTCGTCATGTGCTAGCGTTTGCAAACTCCCACTAGCGGGCGTCAATAATCAGTAATCATGACTATATTAGAGACAAAGTCATGCAAGATTTACAGGAAAAATCCGTAATTCACAATCAGTCTCAAATTTTAAGAATAAACCAAAAAAATTCCATGTGGGCATAGATTTAACAGGAAAATCATAATTTACAAATAATTTTCAGATTATCAGGCCAGTTAAGTAAACTCCAAGTAGGCATACTCAACTCAATGAAAATGATAATAATTCTATTTCAAACCAATCATGCACGGTGCTAATAAAATCAATTTAAACCTTGCTATCATCTCAAAAACAATTTAAAATATGCTTTTATTTTGAAATCGAAAGGCGTTACCATAATTTACTTACCTCAATCGCATAACACAGAAAATGCACTCCAAGTGTGACAGAACAATCAAGAACCTAACTAAAATATTCCAGAATTAATAACCATATGACTGGACATCTCAATTTTATTCTCAATATAAACTAAACATTTAAACCTTCTTATTATTACCAGCCATTAATCCCATGAAGAAATCTTATTTATTTATTTATTTATCCTTATTTTTCTTCTATCCAAAAATTGAGCACAAAAATCAGATTGTACATTTATATATATGTACATAACTCACATGTACAAAATTCTCCAAATTCACGGACAACATGGAGGAATCGGCCTTGGCAAAACAATAGCTAATTTCACGGGATTTTTCTCCAGAACCTCACCGCAGCTAATTAATACCCAATCACATAAATTCTACATGAATTAAGCTTAATTTTGTCCTAATTGCTACCGGAATTAATCCCCTATTTCAGCAGAAATTCGAACATCACAGGGGCAGCAATTAACTAGACTAAATTCAGCAACTAATGGGTAATTTGGGACTTAGATGGAGCTGTCACATACCAGAAAATTCAGCAAGCAAACCGGAGCTGGCGGGTTGGGGGAAGCCGACGGAAGTGCAGGAGAAATCAGGGGATCTACCGGAAATTGGAGAAACCAAAAGAAATTAGAGTAAACCCAAGCCAAATCAAGGGAGAAAAGAGGGATTAGTGGCTGTTTCCCTTACCAGAAACCTGAAAAAAATCACATCCACACAGCAGAGCAGCGGACGGAGAAGAAGGAACAGAGCAGATCTAGAATTTTCTGCAGGGGGGGAGATTTCTAAGTCTAAATCTTGTTTCTTGAACAAGAAAAGAAGGGGAAAAAACAAGCTTTTACCGTTTCTCAAGAGGGGGTGTTGTCGGTGGCTGGGGCTCTTTGCTCGGTTGTAGGGGAGAAGAAGAAGCGCAGAATCGCGCGGCTGAGGAAGAAAGAAAGAAGGAAAAAAAATCAGCCATCCTTATCCTAATTTTTTTCTCTTTTAAGTCCCTCAAATTTAAAAATTTAATAATTAGACTCAACAATATTATTTTCTTACAATTAGGTCCTTAACTCACACTTAATTGTTCTAGAAATTTTTGGGGTATTACATTTTCATTATATTGCGTTGATATCTTCCATTAATGATTTAAATCTAAAGTAGTATCATCAATTAGTTCTTATCCACTTTTCGCAATTAATATGAATCTTGGGGCTGTCAAAAATAAAAATGTGGAGATCAAGCAATTGGAATTAGGAAAGGAATTAGAATGACGAATGCTAATAGAGAAGAATTGAGAACCAAGAGAGAGGGAATCCAATTAGTTCTACAACTTAAGCATTTTTCAATGAAGAATTTTTGGTAATGTTAAATTCTTTAGTTGTTTGCTCTTCTTCTATGACATGCACATCTGTTATGTGATGTTTAATAAAGAGTTTTGTCATCTTCAAAATCACTTGGTTGACCACCATTTATGTTTGTGTTAGTATATGTTTTGATAGTTTTAACTTCATTATTTCTATATGTATTAAAGCTTGCACAATAAGAGCATACTTTATAAAGACACTTAATTACTGGTGAAAAAATACATTAATTGCTGCCCAACTTGATTGATTTATATCATAAGAAAAGTTTCAAAGCAGGTGAGTATTATTGTATACTCTTTTAGCCTTGCAACATATCATTCTAATCATTTGCTATTTTTTTTATTTGAATTTTCAAACTTTGAAGGCAATGGCGAGTTTGGAATTTGGATTTGAGTTGGTGGGGAGGCAAGCCTCTCATGTCTTTGCAACACAGAATTCTAAGATTCTTCTTAGTTCTTGCTTAGTAAAGAGAATAGAACTAGAGATAATTCTAAAAGGATCAAATGAACTTATTTTACTTGACAAAAAGAAATTAAATTATTTAAAATCAAGTATTAAGCATTAGAATGGTTAATGGTATGTAACTCAGCAATATGGTTGATGGTCCTGCCTTTGTGCTTCCATGTCTCTAATCATGTTTTTCTCCTTTTTCTTTTCTTTTTTCCATTTTCCTATTTGCTAAGTATGCTTTTTGTTCTTTTCAAAGAAATAGCATCCTCCAGCTTTCCACGTGTTACAGGTACCATCATGCATTTTGTAATATCCCAAAATTCTAGAATATTAAAGCTGAGTTAGGGATTAATTTGTGAGAAAATATTATTAATGACCTTAATAATAGAAATTTTGAAACTTAAGGAACCCAAAAGAAAAAAAAATTTGGATAAGGATCCACTATTTTTTTCCTTCTTTCTTTCTTCCTCATCCCGTGTGCTTCTGCTCTTCCCGACCCCCCTGCAGCCGAACAAGGAGCAAGCTGCCGGCAGCACCCACCCCTTGAAGAACCGATAGAAAGCTTGAAATTTCTCCTTCTTCTCTTGTTAAATAACAAGCATTAGGACTTAGAAACCCTCCATAAAGCAAGGAAATTCCAGATCTGCTCGGTGTCTCTTCCTCCCCTGTCCGTCGGGTTCTGCTAGGTGTGAATCCTTCGGCTTTTCTGGTAAGCCACAGCCAAGAAATCATCTCCTTAGCCTTGATTTAACTTGGGTTACTCTAATTTTTGGTTGTGGTTCTTGAATTTTGGGTAGTTTCCGTGAGTCCCCTGCAGATTGCCGTCGGCCTCTTTCCCCCCTGCCAGGTCCGGTTCTGCAGCTGGAAAATTCTGGTAGGTTGGCTTCTCTAATTCTCGAAAATTAGTTGATAAATTGCTGCCCTATGTTGTCCGAAAATCTGTTGAAAAATGGGGATGAATTTGACAGTAATTAGACCATGATTTAGCTTAATTCATGTAGAAAATTAGTTTATTTTGGCTGCTGTGATTTTTGGAGAAAAATCCCGTGAGATTAGCTATGGTTTTGTCAATTTTGGAGGATTGCAGTCACTGTTCACGACATGATCACTGTTTATGGGCACTGTTCACACACACGGATGGCCAACAATTAACGGGGATTTAAATGTTTAGTTTGTAATATAAGAACAAATTTAGAGATATTTGACCAACATTTTAAGTATTGATTCCAATGCTATGTTATTTTTAAAGATTTAAAAAATCACCTTAATTATTTTGACTCAAGCCAAGCTCATTGCACATGTTATTTAATGTTGGTGCCAGGTCAACTTTGCTTTTCTCTGCAATTCACCTTGATATTTTGATTAAAAAAATCACTTTAGTTGATTTTTCATAGGTAATTATTGCAGGTTGAGCAGGAGTTGTTTGTGTAATTCCAAATAGAATTCTAAGTTTGTAGACTACTAGAAGTTGAGATTTTCTATAAGCTTCTTTCACATTCCAGTGTTTTTTACTTGATAGAAGGCATTTTTCCACTAAAACTTTATATTTTATATTGTAAGCTTCCTTTTTTATATCAGGTGTTAAGTAGTGAACAATAAAAGCCTGGATCAAGTAAGAAACATCTCTTCTGTAGCAGAAATAATAAAAGCTTATTGAAGGATCATCTAACTTTCATTCCTTAACTGCCAGTCCAACGTACACTTTCGCTTCCAATCAAGTAGCATACTGCCTTTGGAAAAAAGGGACATGATCTCACTCACATCCTTATATATATGTCTGAGAAAAGAAAATAAAGGGCAGCACTGAGGATAGAACAGATATTAGGACAGACTTAGTTCCTGAACTTTACAGACCGTAGAGGAAATTATACAAATTAATAGATATAATTGCAATAGAGGGAGAAGGGAAAAGGTGGAGAAATAGAATGAGACAGTTGAGGAATTAACTAGATGTTTGAAATTTTATTTGAAAACTATTGAATATAGTGTATTCGGTACATGTAGAAAAGTAGAAGCTTGAAGATAATAAAAATGTACTGAAAATCAGTTGAAGTATTTGAGATTTTGAGTGGGGCAAAATCATACATGTATTTTTTCTAATGAAATGAGAGAGAGGTAGTATATAAAGAGGAATAGTCAAAGATTATCACCTACATAAAGGTAGGATTTACAAACCATTAGAAAATATTCTCGTGAATCAGAATCAAGAAATATATTATCAATTTGTATTCATCTAGCGAACATTTAAGGTTCATCTTATTAAGGCCCATCTACCATATTTAGAAAAAAGAATTCTTCCATTCATCTTATTTTTCTTCTTCTTTTTTTTTTTTGTTGGTAATTTTTACAGTCTACACGTTTCTTTTTCATGGTAATTTTTTTATGTTGGTAATATAAGGCTTGTTTGGAAAAATTAAACTGTTTTGAAAGAGATTTCATCTTCACAAAGATGATTACGAAAAACTCTCAAGAATATTTTAAAATTATGTTATCCAAAATCCTTTGATTCAATGGTTTAGGAGGATGAGTATTTAAGGGACTAATATGATTTTTGGTTTCTATCTCATATGTGATGTTAGAATTTACATTTTGTATGTTATAATACTTCTAGTATTTTAACATGATAATCCAACCATGTATGATTCTTGATTTATTTCAAAAAGTTATAATTAATCTCAGTTTTGCACTCCATTTTCTTATTAATCAAAAAAATATATATCTTATCCATTTGGTAACAACATTGTCAAATAATTATCTATGACTATAGAGGATATCACAGATTGCTAAGGTTTTTTTCTTATTTTCCAGGCTTTGTCAATTTCAGATTGAGAGTAATTAGTATTGTTAACTTTACATCTTTTTCTTGATATGATTCTTTTAAGGCCAATTATCATGGAAAAATAAATTAGGGATAATTTTTTTATATTATATTTTTGTACAATCTTGGTATCATTTAAAAAATTGGTTCTTTTTATTTATTTAGGATTCATAATATTAAATATATATATTTGTTTAATGACACTTAGATTGTATTAAAAAATAGTATAAAAAGTTTGCTTTTACATCATTACCTTAAATAATTAAGTTTATAAATTTCTTTCAAAAAATTAAATATGTATAATCATTTTATTTATATTTAAAATAAGATACTCAATTGAATATTCAATAGCGGGCATCAATCACTTGTAGATAAGGAAGAACAATAGGGAATCGAACATGGAGAAAATTGAGAAGAATTGAGTGGTTGCTCGACGTTTGTGGAGAGAATTGAGAAGAATTTATGGCCCTGCTTGGTTAGATGGGCTTTTACTTGAAAGAAATTAGGGAATCGGTGATAGAGAGATAGAATAAGTAGACTAGTGGATTTTTGGGATTAATTAAATATCTTTCAAAAGTTGAGGGACTGAATTACAAGAAGAAAGGCCACTCTTTAGGACCTAAAATGAATGCATCTTGAGTTTTGGGATCTTAGTTCTCATCATACAACAGCTGAAGGACTACATTTGTAATTTTACCATTGAAGAAATTGCAAAGAGAGGGCAGAAACCCGACACGGGTGTGGTGTCAAAACATAATCGGGGTGTCAGCACCATGTGTTAAGGATCCAGAATTAGAGCTTCTGTTTCTGGTTCTGTATCAACACGTAATTTGGGGTGTTAGCACCGTGCGTTCAGCCGCCCCAAATTCAAGTTTCCTATTTTGTTCTAAGTCCTACTAAATACCCATTCAAAAATCAATTTTAAGACTTTTGGGAGAAGACTAAGAGAGACGGCTAAAAGGAATTCAATAACAAGGGAAGATCCTATTCTGTTCTAAGTCCTACTAAATACCCATTCAAAAATCAATTTTAGGACTTTTGGGAGAAGACTAAGAGAGACGGCTAAGAGGAATTCAATAACAAATGAAGATCAACAGTTGAGATCTTAAATTGTCAAACTGGTTTTACTTGTTCTGAAATTTTATTTTATGATGTTGGATATTCGTATATTCGTATATTCGTATATTCATCATGGAATTATTGATTTTTTTTTCTTTAATTATGAATTGATTTAACCATCTAAGGTTATCATATAACTTAATCAATTTAATATAGAATTTTATAATTTTTATATTTTCAAGATTTATTATTTTATGTAGAGTATATAATATTCTTTTTAATGTTTTTTAATGATTGACTACCATTAAAACTAATTTGAAGAGTATAATTGAGATCGATAGAAGATTTTATGCAATAACTTCTAGTAATATATATAATGAAATGAACGAAAATCAGAGATAAATCAACGTGATTCATGCAGTATTAGTGATAAATAGACTTAATTTTCTACATAAATTAGGAAATTTCAAAGTATATAATGCATTTTTATCTATTTAAATTCATATAGAAATATAGTAACTTAATAAATGAAGTAGGTTTGGTATAACTTGAGAAAGTATATCAAATAAGATAGGAAATCTTGCTATCACATAAATAACAAATACCTTGGAAGTATATTAATCTAAATTCTATATTAGTTGATTATGGTGAAATCGGATGCTTTAGAATTTTAACTTTTGGTGTTACTTAAAATCAATTTAGTTTTTCTTTAATTGTTTTGGTTAATTATTTGATTCAAATCATTTAATTTCAATTCTTTAAATAATATTAAAATTAGTTATTTTTTGAATTTTATTAATCTACAATCTCTATGAGATAGTACTTTATTCTCATCATTATATTATTTGAATTGACTAATACTTTTGCTAGAGTAAATTTAGCTCATCAATATCTAAATCCTATTTGTCATTTTCTACACCATAAAGAGATGGGTGTTCTTGAACATAAAAAGTAGGAAAAAGTTTTCCAACTTGCACACGGAATGAGCCCAAATTCTTTGTACCATCAATATTTAATTCTCATAGTTGATTAGTAAGAAGAGTGCTCAATTTTATAGTTTTAATTATATCAAATTGTAAAATAGGACTCCAAGATCAAAGGATATCATCTTATTTAATAATTATAATTGTGTAATTTAATATAATTTACATGGTACAAATATAACATTTTTTCCTAGCAAGAATATCTCTAATTACGTTTGGTGTTATGCAAAATTTGTGGAAAAGAAGTCATCAATTTTTTGATCAGCTTGTGGCAGGCTATTGTACAAATTCGAACCCTTCTTTTTATATATTTTGTACAATAATGATATATTTTTTTATTAAAAAATGGTCATTTTTTCTTACTAATCAAAACTACTATCTTCATAAAGTTTTTTAATCAATCATGTATAATCTTGTGCACATTCACTTAATTTCTTTTATTCAAATCATAAAAGTTATATCTTTAATTATAAAATTTCTAAAGGTGCTAGCTTTGATTAATAAAAAGAAACATGTTATATCCTTAATTAAAAATATATTGAAAAGTTTCGTTCTTATTAGTAGAAAATCTCTTAATTTCAACAATTGAACATCAAATCCTAATAATTGACGATGAGCAAAGTTTTGTGATGACAACAACGAAGAGTTAGCAATATGATTTTTTTTTTTTTTTGCTCTTATTAGGATAGATAATTGTATGAAGACAATTCATTGTGTTCTTTACATACATATTTGTTCAAAATAAATATCTAATATTCTGTCATTTTGATTTCTTTTGTTTTAATAATGTTCCTGGGCCTTGCTTTAATTTTAGTTTGCATACTTTATATAAGGGTTTCAAAGAAGTCGGAAAGTAATCAAAAAAATTAACTAATTAAATCTCGTATAGTTAAATATTGTATTTATATGCTAAAAGGTGAGCCCTTTTGGTCTATTTGTAAAGATTGCAAGGTGGGATCAAACACATATACATGCCTATCTTCGATTGGTCAAAGTCTTGATAATCATAAATAATTAATTTGAATTGCTTTCCAACTAATATTGATGCGGTTTGAAAAAGACTTGGTTTTTGCTTTAGTTTTACTTGTTATTCTTTATAATGTCTAAAAACTCAAAAGAGTCATTGCATTTGCAGAGTTGATTCCATTTATTAGCTATTCTTCAATGTTAGTCAATGACAATCAGTCGCATTAATTTAAGGTGTTCACTTGAAATTGCTTTCTTGGTATTCTATATTCATTTATTTTTGGTTTTGATGGAATATATTCAATTATTAGCATACCTCAATTTGGAACACTCTATATATACTCTTCTAGAGTACTCTATTCCGCCAAACAGAAATATGGGAATTTTCACAATGCTCTCTAGGCCACTTTGCCTCATTTTCCTCTTCCTCTGCCTTAAAACTACCTTCGCATCCTCTTTACATGCTTCTTCCTTCTCAACAACACACCTCTGCTCTCATGAGGAGGCTGCTGCTTTGTTGCAATTCAAGACATCCTTTTCCATCAATTACACTGTTTGTTATACTGAAGCTAATTATTCTAA